GATGCTTTCAGCCAGGATTGGTCACACAAATACGTTTATGTGTACCCTCCAATCCGATTGTTTCATTGAGTGATTTCTCTGATCCACTCCACTCCTTGCCAAGTCATCCTGATTGCACTCTTTTTGCCAATGCAATGATGGTTCCCCAGGTTACAACATCTGCTCCTATCACCATCTGTACCTCTTCCACTATCTCCCTCCTTTCTTTGTCAACCTCCATCTTCACACTCAGCTTTTGTCTGGTCCTTGACAAGACGATCCAGTTTTACATGTTGAGTTGCCTCCTTGTTAGCTCGTTCTTTATGGCTATCTTCTGTCGAATTATTACAAGCATAAGTGGAAAGTCTTCCACTGTTGGTCTGCTAACAGGGCATTTCCTGCTGACAAGCCTTCTGTGGCTCATGCAATAAAATTTCTCACCTGGCTTTTTGACCATGGGTCTCAGGTCTCCTTGCTTTCTGGATATCAGATGGCCTTATTCCATACTTTCTGTTTTCCCTGATATCGTAGGATTTTCCTTTCTCCTGTCCTTATGGGCATGTGTTCCTTCATGATTTGGAGGCCTCCAAGGCATCCTGCCCTTCCAGACTGGGACATTAATGTGGTCCTCCATGTCCTCACTTTACCTCCATTTCAACCACTTTCCTTGTGCTCCTTGTTTCATCTGAGCCTTAAAACTTATTTCCTTCTTCTCTTGGCCTGTGGTCATCGATGGTCTGATTTGTTTGCTATTGACGTTTCACGTACTCTTTATCACCCTACCTATCTTCTCCTTTATCCTAAAGACCTTGGCAGCTCAGGAGGGTTGTTCATCGTTTTCTCCTATTTCCCTTTCTTTTATATCCCATCTTTACCCTAGACAGGATCCAGATAGACTTCTGTGTCCAGTCAGGGCCCTTTGTTGTTGTATCACATGTGTTGCTACTTTTCAAGGTATGCACAACTGTCTTTTATTCCATGGCAATCCTCTTCACTTCAAGATCTTTCCCCTATTACCCTTACAAACTGGGTCCTCTTTTTGGTTCATTTGACCTACTCTTCCCTGCCTTCTTCCTGCCATACAAGTTCTACAATCCACCATTATCTCGCTTACTACTGCATCGGGGTTTCATCTACCTCTTGTGGCCATTCTCCAGACTTCAGTGCAACTTTAACTGGTAAGTTTTCTTCATTTTCCTGTTTTCTCAGGAGCCTTTTCTCTCCCTTTTTATCACGGATCCCTCTCTGTGGCGAGTGGTGCCTGACCAGGTATTCTTTAACTCTAACTCCACACCGTCAGCCATGTTGACTCACACTCTCTCATCCATGGCTTTGCATGCTCACTGTAGAGATGGGGTGTACCACAAGATCACTTAATGGTTTGTTACCTCACGATATGTTGCTTCATAAACATGCCTGTTCTGGACTGTACCACCCACTGAGCCATTGCAATTGCAGTTCCCCCCTGTGATTAGAAGACCTCATTCTACCTTCACTTAGAAGCCGGTTTCCAGCATCTAGGTTTTTGATTAGAGTGAGCCAATTAACATAAGTCCTCCCACAATTACAGGTTGTCTAATTTCTTCCCTCAATTGCTCCCTCTGTGTCTTTAGTCACAACAGTTGTATGTGGGATTGTTCCAATGCTCTCCTTGACTATCCCTCGTTCTTTTCTTATGGGGATATTATTACCTTTGGATGGTGCTGGCCTGTGTCATGGTTGGGGGAGCTGATTATATATGATCCTTTCAATATGGATGTCTATTCTCAGATCAATGAAACTGAGAATCCTCATGACATACCCAGAAATCAGTGCAGATCTTAATCCCCAATTCTTGGGTTTGAGGTGAAGACAGTATGATCCTCATTCTACCCCCGCATGGATGTCGGTACCCAGTGAGGACGTTTTGGATGTAGTTGACTTACCGACTATGGTTCGATGTGCTCTAGCCACTCTACACTTCACAATTTCTGCCTTTGGACATGACACACACTACACAGGATCAAAGTTTATACCTGGCTCAGAAGTGGTACAGTTTCCCCTCTACTGATCTTTGGATCTATATCTCTTATGGTCAGGGGTATCCTTTGGATGCTTTTGGGGGTACTTTCATTTCCTTGCCCCGGTCTCTCTTTTTCAGTGTGGGATTCTAGCTAATCTTGTGAGGAAAGGTAAGTACTGTATTGGAAGCTATAATTTTCCTATATTGAAAATGTATTTCTGATAGGTAGTTACCTCCACTCTTACTTCCCACCCTTCCTCCCCACTTTTCCAGTGCTCATGGCTTCTGCCAAACTTCAAAGTGAAGGTTCGGTAGAGGAGTATGTAGGGAGTCACATGCGTCACGTGAGCATGCCATGCTACTATTGGTTAAGAGATAGCGCATGATGATTTGCATGAGACACATGTTGAAATGTGATAATTCCAACAGAGGGGAGCACAAGGCTTGTGGCATGTGTAAAGAAAAGTTCACATATAGAGGGCAGCACTGAACGAGAATAGCTAATCTTGTGAGAGGAGATAAGTACCTATTGGAAATAAATTTTCTGTATAGGAAAATTAAAACTTTCAGAAAGCCAACTATACCAGATCATGTCTCACATGCACTTGGTTGTTAACTAGTGGCAGGGTTAGTACACAGCACCACTATTCTCTCATTTTGTCATTAGAGATTCTAAGCTGTGGAGGAAAGATTATAATAGGAGAAATTCCTTATCTCTGCCTCTCCATACTCATTACTGTGGTGGCTGACATATTGTCCTGTTTGACCTTCAAAATCTCTCCCTTAAGAGTAGGAAAAGCAAATATTTTGTGCAGTGTTACATAGAATGTGTCTAAAAAATAATGTAATCTCATTTAATATTCTGTTTGTCTTTGTATGAAAAGAGGCCAATTAATGGCACTTAATTCACAGTAACTTATATTTTTAAACTGTTTGACAAAAACTTTGAATTATAAAATAGTTTTCAGCCTTATTAAAACTCGCAGGGGGTGCTTCCTCCCTTGAATCTATGCCTGCTGGGATAGCTCTTTCTGGAAAGTCCTGGTGTCTCAAGTTGATACATATTCGTTAGCTTTCCAGTGTTGTTAAACACAAGGAGTATCCCCATATTGGACATCTTTTTTGTGGCATCAAATTACCTAAGAAATGCAGAATAATGACAAAATATAGTTCTGATACATTGTATTCCACAGTGACTTTATATCAACTGTGATTTTCACATGATTTGTTGATTTACATATACTCAGAATTGCTTTAATATAACACACTCAATCCTGTATTTTTCTTGTTTAGACTTGTTGTTATGTAATTATTTTCATAATTTTTTGTAGGACAAAAATAAATATTGCACATTTCAGTAGGAAATGGTGTGCTTCTGTGATTCAAAGATATTTATAATTGCATGGGGTTTAGTTGTTAATGTAAGATCATGTAAAAAAACAGTGCAGATGCAGAATCGAATTTGTACTTGCATAGTCATTTACTAATTTTGTGCAACGAATGAATAACATCAAAGGCTGTGGAACATGACTAATGATTGTAAAGTTGCTTTGGTCTTTAATGAAATGAAAGGAATTAAAATGATACATTAAATTTTTTGTTTCATCTTTTTTTCTATAATATGCAAGTTTGAAACAAATTATTAAAATGAAAATTAAAAGTATATTTTATTTTTAAATCAAATGCCTAATCTTCTAATTGTAATAACAAGTTTACCATATGGTTATGAAGTATTTAACCAGTGTTAAACTAATTTAGTAAATTATTAATGTAAATTTTTATGTATAGGCTAGATTCTTTACACTAGGTGTCTGTGACTTGTTGGTGATAAATTTCAATAATAAACAAACACCATACAGTCCACATGTTTTAAAATAATATATTAAAACAAGTCAAATGTTCATTACACTGTTGGTTATCATGGTTGTATTCATCAAAGTCCACACAGGCTGGTTCAATTACTTTGGAATACAATTTGATAAAACGAATTATACTTCTCTTCTCTGTTATAATTTCACTTTAAAAATTGCCACTATATATGCTCTTTATGACTAAACTCACATTTACGCACTCTAGATCTAACTTACTATTGAACTAAATTTTCTATACATATTTATACTCAACAGAGGTCTAGAAAATTCCACACACTACTAGATATTATGGTGCAATAATACTCAATTAAAACAATGAGAAAAACTCAGAAGGTCCTAGTAACATGAAGCAATAATACAACAATCACCAATTCATAACTATTGTACTGCACAACATATGATTTATAAACAGTTACGTAAACAAACCTGCAGTAAACAATTGCTTCTGAAAATAACTAAGTTTAACACTCGCACTATCTAAATCATAACACTCACATTAAACTTAAACCGAAATAGTTAACAATTAAAGTTTAACCAATATGATATTTGCCTTTAAAGTAATTCCCGTATGTTAGTAATTTTAACAAATTAAGAAATTTCTTAGCACACAGTAACATATGGAATGCCAAGAAGGCATATTAACGAATTCTTTAGTGTACTTTAAATGTAAAAATAAATTTATTAACTTTATGTTAGTGCTACTATTTTGTAGTCTGGCTTCTTAGGCTAATCGTTGTAACATTATATATTAAGAAACGTACCTAACATTCATAAGTATATGAACATTGTAAATACAGACATATGCACATCTGTATATATTTCTATTACCCTCTTTGTTGCTCTGTAAACATATATATATCCATTTCTATGTAATAGTTCAATGATACATATATTTTATGCATAATTAATAGAAGGGTTTTTTAGTTGACATTACAGTATATTTAAATTGAACATGTTGCAATTACACGACCTTAATTTTTTGTTATATTGAATAAGAATATCCAATTTCTTTTTATTTGCACATGTCCAATGGTTAGATACAGATTTTTTTTTTTTACCGTTCAATTTGATATTTATGTTGCTAATGTATTTCTGTAAAATAATGAATTTATCCTATTCATCTTCTTTCTCTCTTATTTTTCTACCAGAGCTATAAGCAGCATGATTTCATCTTTGTTTTTCCCAGTGATACCATACTTACTTCAGTTCTGCTTGTTTATTTTTTGGGGTGCTGTAGCCATGTATCCTTTTTTATTTTCCACATTGTATACACGTATATGGTAAATTAACATTAAAACCTAAGCAAACATAGATTATGTTCTTTGAAAACATTACATTAAACTCATCCATCTTATAAATGTAGATCATTCTTTTAAACCAGAGGTGTGTTTATAGCAAGTATCAACATTGTCCTATGTTATCACGTAGTGAAAAAATCAACAGCAACTTAATTCATAAAGAAAACAAAGCGGGTTAGATTCAGAATTAATTAAAATAGAAAGTACAATATTTTAATAATTTATATGTGTACATGATACATATATGACATTTGCGATTAGTTCACTATCACAAAGCTGGATTCTTAACCATAAACTACAAGGTCTATTGCTTCATCTGGAAAAGCAGTCTATAGAAATGTGAATCAACATAATGTATCATCTGTGCAAGACAGTCCCACTTGTGATCCTAAGGTAATTTTTGCTTGTACTGTATTTCGTTTAAAATGTGTAGATATAATTTAACCACAAACTGAAGTATAATTTTCAGTAGAATATATAAATAAATAGTATATTGTAAATTATTTTGATGTATACTAGTTGCATCATCAGTTTTTTAAGATTCTCATGATTCTCTCAAACAGTTTCAAGTATACTTATATATCTCTCTTTTGCCCGAAACACATCAATTATTCTCTACATCAAAACCATAATCTATTAATATGCTATTGATAAGCATATTTTACTGCACCTACACATAGAAAACTAATTAAGGACTCTGAAACTGTTCTATATGAATGATTTTTGTTTGCTTTACTCTGTTGTTGAGTGCATTGTTCGTACAAAAGTCTTTCTCACTTTCTAAATCTTTGAATTATGAAATGATCATGGGGCATTTGAAGGGGGGGGGGTACTTGCCCCTCCTTGGAAAATGAGAAACATAATTCTTTCTTTATTCATTTAGCAAGTATATGTATTTGAATTTACAAGGTTTTTATTCACTTCACAATTTCACACTATTTATTACACTTAATTTTCAATTGGGATCAACCTGTTTCCACCTGATGGTAATACTGGCAACAGGTTATCAAAGGGGCTGATGCAGTCTTGCAGACATCACATGAGACAGTGCAGTCAGGGTCAACCAAAATTTACTATTACTGAGTATTTATAGCTACAAGTCTGCAGTATGGTATAAGCTAACTTTTCAATTATTAAACCCATCAAATCTGACTGTGAGAGCTTGCATATTCTCTTGATTGTAAGTGCAAAACTTTGAAGGTGGGTCCATTGTTCCTTGATTTTGACTTTGCCTCCCCCCACAGAAAAATTTCTACAGACACCCTTGGAAATGGTGACTAATATTATCTATAATTGTCATTAGTAAATGGGACTTGACATATTTCAGTTCTTTAACTACGCTACAATATTTATACATTACAATATTTTCATGGACAAAACTTGAAAATGCATTTGTGTACATGGGCATGTTACAGTTTTACAACCATGCACTACAATTCAGTTTTTCTTTTCATATAATACATATTGACTATATGAGCAACAAGAATTTCTGAAATGAAAGTTTTTTACTTAGAACTAAATTTCTATCGCAAGATGCTACAGCATTACTAAAATCCTTGTTAACCATTTTCCCATGTTTATATTATGAAGTTTTTTTTTATTAATCCTTTCATTACGAAATTAATTTTCAGGCTGATTCCCAAAAAAGTGTCTATTATCCACCCAAAAATAAAAGTATGGATTTGACCCTTTGTATTACTTTTTCAATATTGAAAGAAATTGTATTTGCTATATCTGACAGTAATAGTGAAAAATAATGATTTAAACAAAAATTGAGGAAAATTAGAAGAAAAGTGTTCTCCAGTAAATGGCATAAATATAGACAAAACTCAGTAAGAGGCAAACATCATTACAAAATATAAAACAAATAATTTAGATGATAATATTTAAGATATGAAGAAGCTGTCTTTATATAGATTCTATATGTGTTCCTGTAAAGTTGGCAATTTTGTAATGAGGCATATAAACATCCAAGTTTCATAGCATTGAACACAGATGGCAGCACACATGCAGGTTTGGCGATTGTTTCAAGTACAGGGGGATATTCCTGCATGTTACAGAAGAGAGAATTTTTTTTGGTAGCTGTGGGGTAAATCCAAATTTCGCATTTAGTGGGTATAAATGTTTATTCAGATATATTCGAACTACGCAGCAAAAGAGCTAATTTAAATTTTTTATGTTCCTTTTTTTACATTGTTTTATCTTGGACTAGTAAATGTTTTGTTGTATTTTCATTTTGTTTTTCTTCTTTATCAGGACTTTAAAGAGATCACTACTGACATACATTGTGTTTTTTCTGCCTACGAAAGTGAATCAAACCTTCTTCGTGCCCAGATCTATAATGTTTTTGGTTTGTTCTGGGCAGTGTTTTTCATTATTGGTGTGTGTCAACTGTCCCTTTCCATTGCCTTTTCTACCTATTACTGGACATTTAACAAACCAAAAGATATACCTTCCTTTGCTGTTGCAAGTGGTATTGGGACATGCTTACGGTGAGCTTTATTTTATTTACACATTGATCATAGTTATATATTGTCATGCATTCATGTAAATAAAGTGATAGTGTTAAACATTGTTTTGAGTCACAGGTATATAAATGTAATAAAAAACTGTAATTAAATGTATATACAAGATGTTTATGTACTATGGGTATTTAGATGATCTAGATGATGTACAGGTTAAATATTTGGCTTAAATGCATAAGGAATTGCAGAAAGTTCACTATACTGGTTTCTGTAAATTGCATTTGGAAGTTCCACTGTTGCAACTCCTCAGTGTTGCCATAACAATTTTCAACTGCAGCATCCATCCTTACAGTAGATTAGTTGTTAAAATGGTAAACCTGCATCTGCAGAAAGCCCTTCAACCACTAGTCAGTAGTAGAGCATGGTAGCCAGACATGATGAAAATGGTAGCTCACCACCAAATTCCCCACAAACATCTACTTCAAAATTGTATGGGACAGGATACAGTCTTGCATGAAAGTGACATCCTGCATGATCATTGTGCATGTTGCTAAATCCTGTGATTTTTGTGCATAAAGAAGAATGGTCCAAGGATAAAGTCAGTGATTAAACCACATGATATGGTGATATTTTGGGAATACAAGATTTATTCTGAATGTCACCTTTGGATTTTCATTGGCCTAGATAACACAATTATGACTATGACGAATGAAATGGGACTCATTAACTGCAAAAAGTGCCTTAAGCTTCAATGAAAACATTTTTCAGAATGTATGTATAGTTACATATTTTTAATGTTGGAACATACTTGATGGTGTTGACAAAAGACTTTCCTCATTATTGGCCATTGGAAACTGGTCTATCATGTCACATCCTGGGCACTCCTTGCACAATGGATAGATTCTGGAGCAAGGGTTTCATTGGTATGTAAGCACCTTGTTAACATTGTCTTAGATGATCAGATATATAATTTCCTCTTTCTTGGAACTTTGTAATCAGTCTGCTGACAGCAACAGTTGTACATAGTCCACATGTTATGTTTAGTGGTGCAGCTGCACAAAGTATGTTTATAAATATACAGTCAAAGGTTGGAGGACATAGTATAGAAAGAAATGGTCAATAATGTATAAGTACATGTGTAATTTTTATTCTTACAAAAAGAAAAATATATAGTGTGTGATGCAGGTGCAATATAAAAGTGTTTGAATAAAATCTTGTAGTAAAACAAACTATCATAAATATCTGTACATAGTCAAGTAATAGTCAAAATTTTAATTAATTACAGCTATATTACACTGATTGAAATATTTTACCAGGAAGCTTATTTGACCATAACAGTCATCTTGTACAAGTTTGTAATAATAGCCTAAACATGTACTGGAAAGTTCCAAATGATATGAAATTTCTCATGATAGTCTGACTTTAATAAAATTCCAGGAAAAGTCTTGCATGTTTGAAATTTTAAAAATTCTGCATAGATATTTAAAACAGTTGTGCAAATGAATAAACATCTTCACTTGCTTATTCTTAAAATTCTAAGTAGGAACAGCTAGAAAGTATACAATTTATAAATCTTATTTTATATATATATGTGTTGGGAAGTTTTGTGAAGTAATGCATAGAGGTTTGTGTGTGTGTGTATATCACCTAAGACTTTCTTCATTGTTGACTATTGTGACCATGCTGGGCAGACTGTGTGGAAAAGGTAATTTTTGATCTAATTTATATGTAAAGTCTACACTTTATCACTGATAATTATGCGTTAAATGTAAAAAGCCTTTCAAGTAAGTATTCAAAATAAGGTTAGTGTTTTAATTTCTCCAAAAACGTGATAAACAAAAACGTGATAAATTGGTATTATTTAATAATATGATTCCTACAATTCTTTCATAATGCAATTTTGACTACAGAAGTAGACCAAGAATTATGCACAGAGAATTTTTAAACTATGGGACAGACATTTAAACGATTAGATCATCCTGGAAGTAGTGCATTATTACAAAACCATGGTATTGATACTGCTATAATACTGCATTTTCTTGAGGTAATGTAAATACAGTTGGAGTTTATATATAGATACAAATACTTAGGAATTGGATAAATATAATGTTTGTCAGTTTAGTGTACGTCAAGTTATGAATAACCTAAGCCTCTTGATGAAATAATGCATTGTAATCATTATAAGTAATATTGAACATTATACTCAATTAGCTATACTCATTCCTAGGTATATATATTTTTAGTTCTGATTTATATAGTTAGCTTGCTTTGATCAAAAGTTAATAGCATCGGACAATTATAACTCTTTGGGACAAAACTTGTTTCATTTGTCAGTGAAGCATCAAGGTGTTGGAAGGTTTCAAAAGGAAAAATTATACTATTTTTCAGCATAAGAATTGTATTTGATTCCTTTAGCAATGTTGTAGTAGGAAAGTAAAATGAAAGTCTGATATGAAGAATACTCCATATTTATTTTGTGGATTTAAGATTGGCAATTAGTTAGGCTTGTATGTCTAATTGAAGGCTTTCTTATGCTCATCATACCAGTCTGCAACAAGCTTTTCAATTTGTTAGGTGCATTCTGTTGGAAGACACCCTTAACAATGGGATAGAAGTGCTGCACCATAATGTGAATAATGTCTACTTGAATGTTCTAATATAAATTAGCTATTGGTCTGCCTCACATTATCACTTTAGATTATATAGTTTTCGTTACGTTATGTTTAACTATATTTAGCTTATATTGTGCTCTTAATAAATTATAATGTAACAGCTTTTAACATTTATTTATAAATAATTTGCAGCTATTCACATGTTCTGATGTTATAACTCAAAGTAACTTCAGAGTACTTTTATATGATATTTATATTGAAAGATGCTATATTTTGTAATAATCATAAACAATATTTAACCATTTGCTCATTTATTCTTGGCTTAGAATATTAATTACCTTATCTTTTGCACTCACTTATATTTTCCTTTGAATTTATAGTTTTTGAGTAATTTCTAGTAAAAGGAACCTCATGAAAAAATACTGATTGATCAAACAATATTACAGGGAAAAGCTGAGTTTCATATTGGAATGTTATTAATCATGCTAGTTTTGCAGTAGATTGTTAAACTTAGATTACTGTTAACACATTACTTTATTAGAAAAAAATACTTATTTGTATATTATATATTGCATGAAGACTGTCTGTTTCTTCACTGCAGCAAATTAGTGTCACTTGCACACAATTTAAGTTTTTTTTTTTTTCACATTCTTCTAGTGACTGTAATGGGACAGTGGTAAATTCTACAGTTACATCACCAAAATCCAGGGTTCAATTTCCCACGATGGACACAGCAAATAGTCCCATGTGTGATTAATGTGTTGCTTATCTCAAGTTTTTTTGGCCTTTCGTTTTTTTAATGCTTCACCAGCTTTTGCCATATAAATCATAAATTTTAAGCTTAATATTCTTGTATCTCTGATAGCATAAGTCTGTTTTATTTGTTTCTTCATAGATACCATCTTGGTTCTGTTGCTTTTGGATCCCTGTTGATTGCCATTCTACGAGTAATTCGTGTCATTTTGGAATATATAGACCAGAAGTTGAGAAAGTATGACAACAAAGTGGTCAAAGTTCTTATGTGGTAAAAATGAAGTTTGCTTTTCTGTTCATAGTTGATTAAAACTTGACTCCAAAATCTGACTTATCAATCACTTCATAGAATAACATAGTATTATTGCTTTTATATTTTCTGAGATTTAACAAAAGTATTTGCTGACAGTTTACCTCCTACTTGTACATGTTTAAACAAAAAGGTCTCAAAAATCAACAACTTTGAAAATTATCTATACATGTACAACTAGATAATTACTCTTTTCTAAATGGTTACTAAATGAAGAAACTGTTTTGTTAGGTGCATTTAAAAAGTTCAAATAAAGTAACTTCTATATCTGCATCTAATTAGTAGTAGTAATACAACAATTTTAAAACATCTTTACCATAGTCTGTATTCTCATGTACATTTTACAGTCAAGCTCAAGAAATAATAAATAAATCAGCCTTTATTATAAGCTATATTAAAAGAGGCTTGAAATCTGTTATTGAAGATGAGTTATAAATTAATAATAAAATATTACATATCTGCTTTTATATATTTACAGTGTACAGCAAATAAATTTAGATATAGATCATCTTTTGATACTAACAATTATTTATTAATATGTCTGTTTTTGTAATTTTACACTTTTTTTTTTTGTCACTTAACTACATATATCTTTATTCACAGTCTCTGCAAATGCTGCTTCTGGTGCCTTGAAAAATTTCTTAAGTTTATCAGCAAAAATGCTTACATTATGGTAGGTTTATCAGCTTAATTAAAAATAATAATAATTGTCATGATATAAAAGACTGTTTGGTTTAGATAATAGTGATTAATTTATTTTTGTGAATGAATATTTTATTACTGTTTAGTTTTTGTTATAATAAGAGTTAAAAGCAGACGATTGTAGAAAATGTTGTTAATAATTCATTGACGTCGAGAATATAGAAGGTGGACAGACAATTAAGTGATAAAGATATAAATAGCGTGAGACGAGCGGAAACAACAGACAGAAGCAGACAGATAATAGCGAGAGAGAATAAAGTTGATGTGAAGTTAACTACCGTAGAAGTGATAGGCCTAACGTTTAATATGTTAGAGTAAAATTAACTGTAGAAAAGGAGATAAGAAGAAGAATTTTATTCCATCAAAGCATGGTCCTAAAGTAATTGACAAGAAGGAGAGAACTACATATATAGTATTTACGATATGTCCATAATATCTATAGTGTTGAAGAATTTATTGTACATACGTTAACTTGTTCTGAATATATATATATATCATTTTGAAAACAAGTGAAGTGTGTGCTGTTTATTCATCATTGAATTTATTGTAACAAGTCACAGATGCCTACTGTAGAAGAATCCTAAGCCCAACAACAACATAGTATATATTTATACTATTAAGAAATATAACTAAAACCCTTTCCATTTGACAATTGGAGAAAATGAGAAAGAATTATGTTTTAAATTTTGACAACTGGTGAGCCACAGCTAGGGTTATACAGTAGTAAATGGCAATAGAAGAAAATGTGAAAGACGGGAAATAAGTAGGCCTACCTATATATGCACAACTGTAGTAATGAAAATAGTGTAGAGATTAAAATTATGCTACACAACCATGTCAAGAGATTTTGATAAAGGGGTAGAAAGAGTTTCTCAACTTGGGTTAAAAGACAGTGAACTATGAGAGTTTGTTAAACAACAAGAACTGGAAAGAGAAGAAAGAAAAAGAGAGGAGAGAATAGAAATAGAAAGAATGAGAATACAAATTGAGAAAAAAGAAAAAGAGAGAATAAGAGCACAAATTGAGATAGCAAAACTCACTGAACCGAAAGAAGGAGGACCCAAGAATGACAATAGAGTCAGGGCCAGCCAACCCAAGCTGCCCAAATTTGATGAATATAAAGATGATATGGATGCTTTCCTGGAGAGATATGAAAGATTCACCCAAAGTCAGAACTGGGACAAAGGTCATTGGGCAGTCTGTCTCAGCTCACTTCTCACAGGAAAAGGCCTACAAGTGTATACAGACATGACTTCAGAAGATGCCATTGATTATGAAAAATTAAAAGTAGCTTTACTGAAGAAGGTTTTCGTCAGAAGTTCAGAGGAGTCAAACCTGACACTAAAGAAACCGTATTTCAGTTTGTGGCATGTCTGTGAGGATATTTCACCAGATGGACTAACATGGCCATGTGTGAAAATAGTTTTGAGGGACTGGCAGACCTATTAGTATGTGAACAGTCCATGACCATGTGTTCAACTGACATGTTTCTAAAGGAGAAAGCACCAAATGATGTAGACAAGATGATCAAGCTGGCAGAACAGTATATAGAAGCCCATGGAGGTAGCATAACTGGCAAGTCCAAAAATGTCCAGTTAAATTTGAAACCAGTAATGGCTGAGCAGAAGCAGGAGTTTACCAAAGGTGACAGGAGGTTAATAGACAGAATGGAGAAGAGATGTTATGTTGTTATAAAATGGGGCACATTGCAAAAGAGTGCAAGTCCATTACCAGCAAACAACAGCAGAAACCTCAACATAAAGCAGCTGGAACCATTTACAAAGACAGTGCTGGTAAGAAACAAGAAAAGAGTGACCACTTGTCAAATTCAATACAAGAAAGCACGATTCATCATTGCACAACTAATGGTTGGCTCAAGTTAGCAAACAGATCAACAGTGCCAATAGTGATGGAAGCATGTGACAAATATCAAGAGGTGCTAACAAATAATAATATGCCAATATGTGAAGGCTATGTTGGGGACAAGAAAATTAAGGTTCTACGAGACACTGGGTGCAATAGTGAGAACCAGTCTAGTATCCAATGATTAGATGACAGGCAAAGTATGCCTGTGTGTGCTAATTGATGGGGCAGTGAGAAAATTTCCCATGGCAAAAATAAAGGTGGATACTCCATATTATGTAGGAGACCTTGAGGCCATGTGTATCAAGGAACTAATACACGACTTGGTGATAAGAAACATACCAGGTAGTAGAAACTTTGAGAAACTATACAGAAAGAAGATTGATGAAGCATCTGCTGTCACCACCAGAGCTCAAGAAAAGAAGAGCAAACAAGACATCAAGCCCCTGCAATTGTCAAAAAGCGATATTCCGAACTTATGTTTGCAGGAACTGAAGGAAGCATAGAAGAAAGACCCTTCACTGCAGAAACTTTGGGACAATGCCTGGAAGAAAGTCGAGCACAAAACAAAAGGGAAAGATACTTATAGAATGGAGGACCAGAAGGGAGTTCTATACCAAATCTATCAAGGCAGTTATACTGGGGAAGTTAAATAGATTATAGTACCAACAGAATACTGCACTCAAGTGATGAAGTTGGCTCATGAATCAATTGTGGGAGAACACCTAGGAACAAAGAAAACAGAAGACAGAATCACCAGTAATTTTCAATGGCTGGGAGTCATCGAAGATATGAGTAGATTCTGCAGGTCATATGACATCCACCAAAGGACAATACCTAGAGAGAAGGTAGCCAAAGTGCCATTGGGGGAGATGCCTCTTGTAGAAGAGCCATTCAGCAGAGTAACTGTGGACTTGATCGGGCTACTGTTGCCTGTGTCTGACAAGGGCAACCGGTATGTTCTGACAGTAATCGACTATGTGACACGTTATCCGGAAGCAATAGCACTGGTGAAGATAGAGACAGAGAGAGTATCAGAAGCGCTCCTGGAGATATTTTGCAGAGTAGGCTTTCCGAGAGAAATCCTTATTGATAGAGGGACCCAGTTTACTTCAGAACTGATGCAGGAAGTGTGCAGACTCATCAATACTTGGCAACTCTTTACCACCTCATACATTTCTAAATGTAATGGACTTTATGAGAGAGTCAGTGGAGTTTTAAACAGTATGCTAAAGAAGATGTGCCAAAAGAAACCACATGACTGGGACAGTTATTTGCAGGCAGTGTTATTCGCTTATCAAGAAGTTCTACAAGCAAGTACAGAATTTTCACTCTTCGAGTTACTGTATGGAAGAACAGTACAAGGTCTGATGCAAATATTGAAAGAGTTATGTACGGGAGAAGAAGAGTCAAAGTAAGGAACACATACCAGTATCTGTTAGACTTCAGAAACCAACTGAAAGGGACCTGTCAACTCGCTAGACAGAGTTTGTATGCAGCTCAAGGTAGTCAGAAACATTTTTATGACAAGAAGGCCAAAGATCAACATTTTAAGGTTGGAGAAAAGGTCTTATTTCTGCTGCCCACAGACCACAAAAAACTCACCCTACAATGGCAAGGACCTTTTGAAGTACAGGAAGTACTCAACAGAATGGACTAGAAGGTGAATATGAATGGGAAGACCAAGATCTACCATGCCAATCTGTTGAAGAAGTATTTTGGGAGAGAAGAAGACCTAATGGGTGCAGCTATTGAAACAAAGATGGATGTTGCAGGTGTGACCATCATAGATGCAGAACCAGAAGACAGTGACTTTGTCTCAGAAGATGAGGACCTACTAGACCTAAGACTACTAGGTGGAGATGAAACATACAAACATGTCAACATCAGTGAAGAACTGACTGGCAAGCAAAATAAAGAGTTACAAGATCTACTGTGCCAGTATGCAGATATCTTCAGGGATACACCAGGAAAGACAGACATTGTGCAACACAAGATTGAGACCATAACCAGGCATCCAGTCAAAGTGAAGCCCTATCAGATGCCTTATGCAATGAAAGATCTTATAAAGCAGGAAGTTGAGGCAATGTTGAAAGCTGGAATCATCGAGCCTTCAAATTCAGCCTACTGTTCACCAGTTGTATTCATGAAGAAGAGGGATGGATCAAACCATTTCTGCATAGACTTCCAGAATCTGAATCCTTGTGACAAAGTTTGACTCTGAACCTATGGGCAACCGAGAGGCCATCATGGCAAAATTAGATGGGGCCAGGTTCTTTACAAAGATCGACGTCAGTAAAGGTTATTGGCAAATCCTGATGGAGATGGGATATAAAGAGAAGACAGCATTTATAACACCAGATGGATGTTACCAATTTAAGTGGATGCTATTTGGGTTAGTCAATTCAGCAGCAACATTCAACTGCATGATGAGGAGGATGCTGCATAACATCAAGCACTATGTGGATGACATTCTGACACACACTGCAAGATGGGAAGACCATCTGAAGAGACTTAGACAACTGTTCCAGTGAGTGAGGGCAGCAGGCCTCACCATCAGACCATTCTGTGCTGGAGTTTGTTGGACATAAAGTGGGGGACCAACAGATAGCTATGGAAAAGGAAAAGATAATCCGCATACAAGATACGCTAGCTCCAATGACCAGGCAGCAAGTCAGATCCTTCCTGGGGTTAGTGGGATACTACAGGAAATTTATCCCAAATTATGCTGAAATTACTGCACCATTGACTGACCTGATCAAGAAAGGCTTGCCCAACAAGGTGAAGTGGGAAAAACCACACCAGGTGGCATTCCAGAAATTAAAGAACATATTGGGAAGCTCACCAATTCTTAGAATGCCAGACTTCAACAAACCATTCATTGTTTAGGATGATGCTTTAGGAATTGGAATTGGGGCAGTGCTCTTACAAGAACATGAATATGGTCTGTTTCCAGTAACATATATAAGTAAAAAGCTGTTAAATAGTGAGAATAACTACTCCATGATTGAATGAGTGTCTGGCCATTATATTTGCCATTCGGGAATTCCAGAACTATTTATATGGGAAGGAGTTCGTCATCCAGACAGACCATCAACCACTTGCTTACATTCAGAGGTGCAAGATTGACAGTGTGAGGATCATGAGGTGGGCATTGTACCTTCAGAACTACAGGTACTGCATTGAAGCTATCAAAGGGACTGCAAATGTTGGAGCAGACTGTATGAACTAAGAACAGTCTTTGTATATAGTAATAAAAAAAAATTAAATATTTTATCTTGAAGAGGGGTTTATGTCATGATATAAAAGACATGGTTTAGGTATTACTGATTAATTTATTTTTGTGAGTGAATATTTTATTATTGTTTAGTTTTTGTATTGAAGGAAGTTCCGTTAATAATCCATTAACATCAAGAATATAGAAGGAGGACAGACAATTAGTGATAAAAATATAAATAGCGGGAGATGAGCAGGAACAGCAGACAGATAATAACAAAAGAGAATAAAGTTGGTGTGAAGTTAACTATCATAGAAGTTATAGGCCTAATGATTGACATAAGCCTAACATTTAATATGTTAGAGTGAAACTAACAGTAGAAAAGAAGATAAGAAAAATAATCTTATTCGGTCAAAGTGTGGTTCTAAAGTAATTGAATCAGCATGAGTGCACTTTGAGAAAAAGAAACAGAGGATCTTCAAAACAAAGAAGACCAAATGATTACAGTAACTCATGCCACAATTGTAAGTGAATCATAGAGAATACTAGTGCAACAGAAATAGAGAAGATAGTTCTGCTTGTCAACTGAAATCCTAAAGTAATTGAATAGGCCTAAGTTGATACTTGACAAGAAGGGGAGAACTACATATATAGTCTTTATGATATGTCCATAATATCTATAGTGTTGAATAATTTATTGTACATACGTTAACTTGTTCTGAATATATATATATTAATTTGAAACCAAGTGAAGTGCATGCTGTTTATTCATCGTTGAATTTATCACTAACAAATCACACCTACTGTAGAAGAATCCTAAGCCCAACAACAACATAGTATATATTTACACTATTAAAAAATATAAATAAAACCTTTCTATTTGACAATTGGAGAAAAAGAGAGAGAATTATATTTTAATTTCTGGCAATAATAAATGATTAAAGGACCATGTTAAGTATATCACGTACACTTAAACTCAGAATTTCATTTCTAATAATATTAAATGACACATTAAAGTTGTATATTTTTTTTCTTGAAATTATTGATGCTTATTTTAATATAACTGATGAATACTTCTGTTACTGTGATATTTTAGGTAAAACTGATTTCCCCTAAGAGTGACAAGATAGGTTTGCACAATAATTATTTATTCGTTGACAAACTGATTTGTGAGAAATAGACATTTAACTCAAATTTGCAATCAGAAGAATAGCATTTTATTAAAAACAAATGCAGAGAAAATATTTATTTTACTTGCTACAATAGATATCACATCTACTTGAGAGTTAGGTTTGAGGACTCGGACTACACACAAGACTAATTCTGGTGACCTCCTGTTCCAGACTAGATAAATCTTATGTTGCTTACTTAAATTGCTAATGTCAGACTTACTCAGAATGACTAACACTAATTGCTTGACTGGTCATTCCTAATGATGCATGAGTGAGAGGTCATTATCTCACAAGATCATTTGACTCTCAATAGAAAAGATATCTGTAATTTCACACACACTATGAGTGACATTGCAACTGTCTTTCCTATGGGAAGACAAAAGGTATTACTCTAGGTCAATGATACAAAGCAGTAGGTAGCTAGATCAAAAGGAACTTAATAACCTTCTTAATCAATATGTCATGTGGAAACTGCACAAATAACAAATTTTGAAAGGTTCTACATTAATACAAGGAGGTAGTAAACACATGGTTTGCTTATATACCACATTATTACAAACAAGTTTCTTATTGGGTATTACTGTTGGTATGTGATTAAGTCAAGAGAAAATGTACTTTGTATTATTTTCAAATATATTCTAAATTGTTTTATCGGGCATATTTTTTATACTTGCAGATCGGTATTTATGGTAAGAATTTTTGCACCAGTGCCAAAGATGCTATGTTTCTTTTAATGCGTAACATAGCTAGGTAAGTAACTGCACTATTAGAGCACAATTGATTAAAATTTCTAAGTTAAGAGTATCAACAATATGTGATTATAAATAAACTTTGTGAGCATTAAAGTAAAATATCATTTAAGGTACAATTAGTTGTCAGATGAATTTCTTTATGGGTTAAATGATATTTGAATCTATTAACTGTTAATAAACACTATTTTCTTATTGGTAGCAAAGATAATAAATTGAAATCACTTTATCAGTTGAAGTCCATAAAATAGTGCTAATTTACTTAAAACTAATATTCTATAATATACACACAATTATTTTTCAACAACTATGGCATTTGACCTACATGATACCCTTAACACTCCCTGTGCCATTAACCTTCTTATACCATAACCATTAGTGAGATATGACTGACTTTGTAATCACAGTGTACTTTTAAAATGTGAAAGTAATTTGATGTAGAAATTTCATAATATTGGAATTTTTTATAATTGTTTTCCAAAATGTTCTTAAGCTGTTAACAAAAAAAAGGCTAACATAGTTTAATGTGACAATTTATAATTTTGTAGACAACGATAAGGAATATGTAATCCCAATTTTGATTAATCATATACTTTGTTTACAGTGTATGTATGTTTTCAAAGTTAATAGTGATTGGTTAACTGTTTTGTATAGTGGTATACTCTTTGTTATTGATGATGTTAGAAAAACACGTAGGTTAAAGAAGTCTTGATAGAAATGAATAAAAACCATATAACCCGATCACTTCCAAAAGGTGGACCTTTCTTCTTCAGGGGCAAACTGTTTGCCTCTGTAGAAGAATGGTCCACCTTTTGGAAGTGCTCAGGTTATAGGGTTTTTATTCATATCTTTATTATTGAGTAATTGTACCCAGTTTTTGATACTCATAAAGTGTTTAAAAAAAATTCCTCAGTTAATAAACAGGATATCTACTGTTCAACTATGATCATTTAACACATTTTTGGATGCAATACTAAATGAATCATCAGGTAACGTTGTAACAACTCTTCCTGTAAGTATGAATCAGAAAGGTTGTTTTATATACATAGTTTTATGTATAT